ACCTTGGGCCTCCAAAAACAAACCCTCGCACTGACACACACACACACACACACACACACACACACACATCCCAACATGCAAACACATTCACAGGCATAGCATACATGCACACATGAAAACAAAGCAAAATTTAAAAACTTAGGCTGTTATTCAGTCATAGATCACTTTGTCTCACATACATAGGCCCTTGGTTGATTCCAGCAACCTCCTCTCACAAGAAACGAATTCCAGTGGCAACCCTAGGCTCACACCACACAGCAACTGCCACTTGCCAGTCTCCACTTCCACACCCAACCAGATCATTCTGCATAGTCACCGCTTTTATGTGAACCCCTCCCCTCCCATCCTCTGAAATACCCTGGCCTCTAAACAATTTTGTTCAAATTTCACCTTGATGAACTACTTACCCAGGGTGAAACCATTATCTGCCCTTCCTTTGGCTTCCACTAAACAGTGTATGTACATTCTCCTCCACTAAAGTAGAACTGTTCCCTTATCTGCCCCTAGACCATGCTCTCCCCTGGACTCTTGGTACATGTTTGTGTGACTTGTAATCTCCTACAGAAACATCTGGGCATAGTGATGCATGCCTTTAATACCACCAAAGCGGAGGCAGAAACAGGAAGATCTCTGTGAGTTTGAGGCTAGCCTGGTTTATATAGTGAATTCCAGAACAGTCAGAACTACATAGTGAGATCCTTTTCTAAAACAACAAAATGAACAAAAAACTACAGAAATAAAAATTAGAGATTAATTCTGGAAATGATTGACTCAAGTATGTTTTCCATAATCAATTTTTGCTTTATGGCCAAAAAGCAGGAGACAGCATTTTAGAGACAATTATAGCTTTCTTAGATATGATTATACCTAAGTGTGATACTGCCATTATCATCGCCGCCATTTTGAGATGAAGAATTTCAAAGTCTAAGAGGGATTTCAAAGTCTTAGGCTTCTGACCTGTTAAACCGACCACTAAATCTACAGCTCAACTGCTATCCACTCTAGAAGGAAGTGAATAATCACTGCACTGCAGAACTACCCCAGACACCTTCCACTGGCTACCTTCAAACCATCTGACTACCTTCTGAAAACTGCAACACATTGGGAAAAGCCAATGTATCTACTGTATATTGTAGTTCTGTAGAAAAACTGTATTTATTTGGGAAATATGCACGTTAAAGCATTTAAGGTGAAGTGTCATAATTTCTGCATAGTACTTCCAATGATGTACCCAAACATGTTTCTAAAAGAAGAGTAAAGCAAAGGAAGCCAAATAATAACCATAAGTGGATCTGTGTGGAAGGACTGGGGGTGCTCATTATACTAGTCATTTAAGTTATCCATAGATGGGAAATAATCGAGTCAAGAGATGGAAAGACTGGATGAGGAAAATAAGTAGAACATCGGAAGTGAAGCCTAAGAAACATGGAGAAGGCTTTAGCCCTTGCCCAGTACAAATTCCTGGACAGGAAAGCCAGTATCCCTCATAGGAGATCTAAAAACAAAGCACTAGACCTCCAAGAAGTATAACCACCACAAGAGAAAAGAAACACGCTAAATATAGTCAGCATGAAGTAGAAATACTGGAACAGACCAGTATTTTCGGTAGCATAATAAATATCCTCCCACACATAAAGGGAGATATTAGGAAAACTGATTAAGGAAATACACTTTTTAAGAAAAAAGTCAACTTTAGTCAACTGTCGACCAATAATGGCGATACACACCTGTACTAGGAAGAAAAAGACAAGAGGGAAAACCAACCAAGGCAACACAGAAACCATCTGAAAAAGAAAGAACACAACAGACAAAAACACACACAATGAGGGCCTGGAGAGATGGATCAACAGTCAGGAGAGCCCAAGTGTGATTCCCACCACCTACATCTGGCAGATCACATCTACACCTGTAAGTACAAGTTCAAAGGATCGCCTGAGTCCTCCCCCAAGCACCTGTATGCACACATGCACACCCCTAATCACACAGGCACACCTAATTAAAAACTAAAACAATAAAACTTAGAAAAAATAATGGTTACAAAAACAGAACACTGCATTGCATTGGAAGCTCAACAAGAGGAAAGTTCCGCATAGAAGCAGAGAATTGTAGGACAGCGCAGAGACAGGGGAAATAAACGCAGAGACCCAGACAACAGGAAACAGGCAGGAAAAGTTATTAAAGGGGATATTTTAAGAATATTGATCATTAGTTTCCTCAGAATTTAAAAAAAGCACATAATCCATCTCACTCCAGGCAGAATGGCTCTTTCCAAGAAAACAAATGATAACAAATGCTGGGAAAAAAAAATACAGAGAAAGAACAACACTTAAGCACCACTGGAGTGGATATAAATTGGTGCAGCCAGTATGCAGAATGAAGATGTCTGACAATATGTGAAGGAATAAGGAAAATATGTACACAGTGGGGTTTCACTCAGCCACAAAGAAAAATGAAATTGTGTCAGTTAACTGGAAAATGGATTGAACTGGAAATAACTGTGGTAAGTGAATCACACCAGACTCAGAAAGACCAAGTTCATATTTTCTTACATATGAAGAAAACCTAGATTTAAATTGATACATAGACATGCATTTGTGTGCGCCATGAAACTAGAGAGAGGACCATGAGAGGGGAAGAGATCTGAAACAGAATGTTGGCGAAATAGAAGGTAATGGAATTTATGTGGCTTGAATACTGGAGGAGGAGACTATTTGGGGAAAAGAATTGGACCATCAAGAGAGTAGGGGAGCAGTGGAGAACAGGGCCAAATTAAACAAAGTATAATAATGACACACGTGTAAGAATATGTATACTCCCAACCAACAAACTACTAAGGAAAACAACAGCAAACCCCAAGCCAGCCTCTCTAGTTCTAAACTATGCATCTTCATGGAGTCAGATTTTCTTCACCAATTTCTGACATCAGCCAAAATAAAATACTGAATATGAAAGCAGATATGAGAATATGGCATTTACCCAATAAGATAGAAATAAAATAGATTTATAAAAATGCAAGAAAGTTATTTTTTTCAGGAAATGTTTTTATGTTTGAAAATTCGATTATTGTCCTAAGAAATGTCATTTACACTCATGTGTATTAGTCTTGTTATCTTAAAGATTCAAAAGATATAATTATGTTTAATAAAAGAAAGAAAATAACATAATGAAATCCTTTGCTTTTTATGTTAGCTTTAAGAATTATTGAAAAGACTAAAGATACATAAGAACTGATATTGGAAGAGTTTAGAAAGAATAGGAGGGGCACTGTACTTTAAAAACTAAGACATTTTTAAATGTGATCCTTTGTAATATACATACCCAATAAATAGCCTCAAATATATAAGTAGTATTAAAATGCTAATAGAAGAGCAAAATAGAGGGGGCTGATGAGATGGCTCAGTGGTTAAGAGCACTGACTGCTCCTCCAGAGGACCCAGGTTCAATTCCCAGCAACCACATGGCAGCTTGCAGCTGTCTGTAACTCCAGTTCAAGAGAATCTGACATCATTATACCAAATGTGCATGAAATAAAGTTAAATAAAATTAAAAAAAAAGAAAAAAAAAGAAGAAGAGCAAAATAGAGATCAATCAACAACGACTTAAATGTTTTACCCTTTCAGAGACTAACAGGCAAAGCACTGTATAAGAGTTAAAAATGTAGCTCTAAATAACACATTCAATATCTTCAAGCAAGGAAACACATAAATAGCTCCATATTGATAAGATTTTATAAATTATTTTCCACTATGTAAGAGAAAATAACCACACACTTGAATAAAGACTCAGTAAACTGAAGGACTTGGTATCACAGAGATTATTTTCTCTGACCATAATATCAAAACCCATTATAGAAACAAAGCTTCAACAAATTTACCTACAGATAGAACTTGTTAAAAAAAGGAAAACATAAGGGAAAAATTTAAAGCTACACAGAGAAACAACAACAACAACAGCAAAATCACATCAAAAGTGTTAGCTAGCTCCTGCATTACTGAGGGAAAATGGATACCTTCAAATACATACTTTTGTTTATTCTTTTTTAAGAGAATAATGTTTATTCCCATTTTTATATTGGGGAAGATTTGTAAATCATATATATATACACACATCCCATATTCTAAACTTCAGTAATTAGGTATAATTAAGAGTTTGGCTTGTTTCCTGTTTCTCATGGTGTGAAAATACTTGCAAATCACTTACTTCTTATGAGTGTGTATGTATGTGTAGGCATGTATATACGACTGTGTGTTTCTTTTTCTTTTTTTCTTGAATTTTTTAGCTTTATTTACTTTATGTATCAATCTTTTGCCACATGATTGATTGACTTGATGCCTGAGGTCAGAAGGGGACCTGGGTTGCCCTGTAATTGGAGTTACATATGATACATGAATCACATGTAGGTGCTGGAAACCGAACCAGGATCCCTTACAGGAGTCACTACTGAACATCTCTCCAACAACCTTTGCCTCTTTTAGCACTGAAATGAACAGATACTTCCTTGAAAGCCACTTGAGCAAAACATGGAAAAGTTCAAAAATATATTCGAAGCCCAGAACTATAGCTAAGTGGTAGAAACCTTGTCTAGTACACGTCTAATACACTTAAATCCTTGGTATTGCCAATCTTTCTTTTTTCAAATATCCACCCAACACCTGCTGTGCCCTCCAAACCCACATTCATGAAGGACAAAATGATAAATGAAAACCTAAAAGAAAAGTCCCACCAGGAAGTGGTACACTCACACTTCTCACTTGTTGCCCAGTAAGCCCACCCAAACCTCTAACCTAAGGACAGATTAAAAGAGATACCATGATTCCTTCATTAAAACTGATGTAAAAAGAAATCAAAGACCCTGGAGTCAAGCATCTCTCTCTTACCAAAGACTGGGCACTGTTACCTTCAGACCCTTCTATTCTGACATCCATTTGTGTGACATTAACTACACCCCCTCTATGTGATATTGAGACCCATAAGAATAAAACATATTTGCAAACAAGTACCTGATAGGGTAGGTCAGCCATTCTTAAGTAGGTTTCCATTTTCAGACAGAAAGGAGATAAGCTGGGGACCCCATTATTAGGTCTTGCAAACTGATGTAAAATAATAGCATCCTTGGAGTCAAGCTCTTGCTGTTTCCTGTCAAAACCAAAACAGAAATAAAAAACACCCTGCACGTTAGCTTTGTGTTGTTGCCTTAGGGCCTCAGGGGACCCTGTAGGGTTGGAGTCCTCCAAGAACAAGCGGAAGTGTGTGTGTGCAGGTCTTACCTCACCCCCTGTTTAGAGAACAGAAGCCCAGTAGACATGCAAGAGGTTCTTACACACTCTGAAATGACTATAATCCAGTGGCTCTGGGAAGTAACTACAAATCAACTTGTTTCCATTACATGCAGCCTATGGGCAAGAGGATTACCTTCAGGTTTCCTCCAAGAGGAGGTGTTTTGGGTTTACTATGTGTTCTACCTGATTCTGCAGCATTCTGATTTCATGGGTATTATCTCATTTAACTTTGAAAACAACCTTATGAAGTAGACATATTGCATATATTTTATGGATGCAAGTTCTAGAAGGTGAGCATAGCACGTCAGGCACTTAATGCTAGCTCTCGGAAGGCTGAAACAGAAGGATCACATAGTTATGGCCTGCCTGAGCTACAGAGAATGCTGGGTGCAGAGACAGTCATGTTGTTAGTACATTGCAGAACTGGACAGAACCTATGTGCCTGCCTTATACAACACATCGGAACAGACCCTTCCCAATACAATGAGGTGATAACCGGATGGGTCTGCTGTGACATGATGCATATTTATGGGGAGTCTGATAACAAACATTCTATTTCTTTTTCTATATTAATAATCACCAGGATTAAATAAAACAGTATCTGTAAACATTTAGTAAGCTATTAAACATTGAAAGTGTGGAGGAATTTATTTTTACACAAGATATGGTTTTGTTCACATACAAACTCTTCCCAGTTCACCAAATCTGACTCAATAAACTCCACAGAAACCTATTACAATTCCATCTTTTAGTCTGCCTAGTTTTCCCAGTCTGATGAACTCCATTGTCAAGGCTTGACCCTCTCTAAGCTTCGACTTTCCTCTCCACGTTCCGGCTTAATTCCGCACTGACTTCTGGCCAAGCAGGCATGGTTTATCACCTTCACTGCACGGTGCTCACCAGCTTCAGCATCTCCACTTCCTAAAACAAGTTCTCTTGAGGTTCACCAGCCAGGGGGCTAGTCAATTTAAAGAACTCAGAATGACTTGTTCTGAAATAAGCCAAAAAAAAACACAAAACATTTACTATAAAACAAAGGCTTTCCTGGATAGGAAATGTGTGGGAGGGCATATATTAAAATCCAGGACTTATTTGGACTGTTGGTAGACAACACAAACTCTACAATTCACAACTGACTTTACCCAATAAAATAATTCACAACACAAAGTAGTGTTTTGTGTAAATTAGCAGGTCAAAAGTTTAAGAACTAAAAGGCGATAAATATGAAATCCTCTGCCCTACTGGCCAGAAGAATTGAATTCTAAAGGTTCACTTGGGCATCTCATAGTCAAAATAGATGCTGGTCAGGAGCCAGCATGCTAATGACTTTATAGACACGATCCATATTAGCCCACTTAACTCTGATAATAGCACTCTAAAGTGGGGACTCTTAAAGTTTAAATTTGGGACACCAGACTAACATTTTATAGTAGACAGGAAATCTAAAAGTCAGAACGTAACTTGCCCAAGGAACACCAATTTCAGATCAAGTCTGTCAGGCCAAGCCTGGTGGTAGACCCCAGCTATTCAGAAGGCAAGAAAACTGCAAATTCAAGGCCTAGACAACTGAGCTAGACCATGTCTCAAAAACAAAAAAAGGAAAGGAAAGGAAAGGAAAGGAAAAAGAAAGAAAGAAAGAGAGAAAGAGAGAAAGAGAGGAAGAAAGAAAGAAAGAAAGAAAGAAAGAAAGAAAGAAGAAAATGCCAAACATGGAGTGAGGTGATGAGGACATAGTTCTGTGCTGGGTTACTTGGCTTCCACAGGTGGAACACTGGGTCCAATCCCTAGTACAAATGAAAAAAAGGTATTATATATCAAGTTTGAAATAACTCCAGATCCCAAAATTCCAAAGAAAAGAAAACTGGAAATTTCTTGGTTAGTTCTATTAACCCAGACAGTGTGGCTCAGCTTGCTAGTGATGGCTAGTCTTTATAGAATGCCCACAGGGCAAACTGTCCTACATAGTTCACATGTGTTTACATATTAAGTCAACTGGAAAAGGAAGACCACTATTATTATTTCTACTCTATAGATGATACTAATTAAGAAGTTATTAGCACCAACAGTGTCTGGTTGGCTAAATACAGAAGCAAATTTGAACCCAGATAATCCAGCCGCTCCATAGGCCTCCTATTTGTCAGGACCCACCCCCTAGTTTAGGGTCAGACAGATGAGTTGCTTCCTGTGCAGTTTGTTTCATGAAACGACCTTAGAGTGAGATCTGAAAAGAGAACACCTGCAGAGGCCAGCTGGCCCACCGAATAAGAGACTAACTAGGTCCTGCCCTCCTCTAAGGACACCACAGATGATCATGCCTCTGTGACAGGCATGAGTCACTTGTGGAGATCAGATAGAGACTCTTCAGCTGGAGTATCAAAGCGCAGATGAGCTCCGGGGAATGAAGAATTATTTAGTCATTGAGCTTACAAGCAAATATCCAGATGCCTGAGTAAATTTATTATAGATGCCAGGCCATCTCCACTTGAGGAAAACAAAGGGTTAAGACAATAATCATTTAAAAATATAACAGTAGAGAAAATACAGATACCCAAAATAATATCCCAGACAAGTACCCACGCTTCCTACTAGAAATAAATACGTTGGTTATACTCATTAATTAGGCTTCTTAAGTGGCCTGACAACTTCATTTTCTCATGAGACAAAGTCACAGACTAAGGTTAACCTGGGCAGCAGAAAGTCCAGGCACGGTAGGGAAGGCTTGAGAGCTGCCAATGCATGACAGTGGGAACATTTTACATTATGTTTTCCTCCCACACATTTCAGGTGTTGGTTTGTTTTTCTGCCTACACTGTACAGACAGTTGAAGCTTTGATTACAGAGCAAGCGGCAGTTTTCCTGTCCTGTACCCTCTGAAGCTTGTCTTCAGTGCTCCTGTCTGTCCCTTATCTCTCTACTCTTGGAAGCTAGCAGAAAGTTGCATTTTGACCATAGGCCTGTCTTCCTAGGAAATGCCCCTGTTCTTCTCCTCTCTTCCTCAACAAAACACCTCAAAGTGAGCCCTTTCTCACAAGCAGCCAGGCTTCATACTGGAACCTTAGCCTTACTCCTGTTTCTGCTTAGTCTTGGGCAGGTTCCTTAACTTCATTCTCCTCTTGAGTGGTAGTTGTTAAAGACACTTGCAATCACACGCACAGAGTCCTACCAAGTTCCGAAAACTTTGCCAGCCTTCTTTCAGCTTGCATTATAATAAGGTTTATCAACTCATTTCTCAAGAAACAAAAGTAAATAAACAGGGATCTTAAAACATCTTGATCAAAGGAAGTATCCAGAGCTGAGATTTGTGGTCACCATAAACAGGAAGGACCTAACGTGGGCAGAGGACTTAAAAGTGTCCAGGATCCTAAGCTTCCAGGGCGTGGTCTTTTCCAAAGTGAGCTCCCAAGGCCCCATTATTTCTGCAAGGTCATCTAGGCCACATTTTAGATTCAATTATATGAAGTGTTCACTCTCCACAAATGGGAAAATGTCGGGAAGCTGCATGGTGCGGGGTCAGTCCCCACAGACTTTGGATTGAAATAAAGTCGGGATATAACTAGCTACTGTTAAAAGTGCTGCAGAGGTGTGTGCGAATTCTCTATATGGACAGAACCTAACTTGAAACAGGGTTCTAAGGCGGCACAAATGGGGAGTAATCTTCGAGACATTTCACTTTAAAACTTTTGTATTTGGTTCAAGTAGATTCGAGACAATGTGCTAAATGAGATGTGGCGAGCTTAAACCTCTCACTCAGTCTTCCACTGTGGCTAAATAATAGCGAAACCAACACAATTTCTCAGCCCTAGCTGACTTCTTACCCTCTCAGAACCAACAAACAATGTGAACACTGTCGGGCTACCACAGCGTCCTCCTGGAGCGCCCCTCAGCCCACTGGAGCGCCCGTCAGCCCACTGGAGGTCACCAGCCACTTTAGAACCTAGCACGGTGTGTCTTTACTCACTATATTCCAGTCACCATACCTCTGGGGAAAGTGGTGTTAACACATCCTGGCCCCTCCAGAAAATGCTGGGCAGAAGAGAAAGGCTGAACTACTGAAAACTGTTCTGCCTCCAATAATCTCCAGTGACTTGGGATCCAAAATCAGGGAAATTTTAACCATAAACGGACGTATCAGTTAACCAAAGACTTTCTGGGTATCCTGTGGTATCACCTACTCTGCTAAAGACCTATGGGACTAGCAGGACCAACACCAGGGGCCTCCGTTTATTGTTAAGTTTCGAGTCAGCCCTGTACACATTCTGCAGCAGGCAGCCATGAAACTGTTTACAGCCCAGGGAGACTCCCTGTTATGGCAAGTACCCCATGTGCTAATGCTGCCCTCGGATCTCCTACCGTGTACACAACAATGGCATTTAAACCTGAAGGCACTTTCAGTTTCACACCAGATAAGCAGGTAAGCAGGTTAAGGCTGCATCAAAACTGAACAAGGGCTACTTAGCCAAGCATCTTTAACAGCGACTGGAGGTTCCAAGCTTCTGTAACTGCAGCCTCTTAATAATGTTGACATTTAGAGAGGAGTAAGGGAGAACTAACCTTTTATGTAGAGATGAGGTTAATACTTAATATTCCAGCATTGTTACCCATAAACCAATTAGGCGTTTATAAAATGTACCTTCGTATTTCTGCAGAGCTTCATTTTATTGCTGCAAAGGCATTGATTGCAGTTAGAATCTTTCTATGGGGCTTTAACAGACTGTTTTGATCCATAGCACGAGTGACTCACAGCACTTTGCTTTTAACATCCAAATGCTAGAAGGCAAATGCTTTCCCCTCCCAATTTAATTCTCCCATCAACTCTAAAAGACCCCTCACAAGTGGCCAGGTGACCATGAAACCCTTAGAGGGAAGAAGATAGGAGAGGACGCTTGGATCTTTGGGCGGCAGGATGGAGGGGCTGGCCCCGGACCCCCCTTCGCGCCAGCCCTGTCTGGGCCAGTTGCCCCTGTGGGCGCCCGCGTGTGGGGGGTCCCTCTCTGCGGCTCACCTAATGACCAGGAGTTCGTGGAGCAGATACGCAGCCGCGGCCAGCAAAGCTCCCCCGGTCAAATAAAGGGTTTTCTTCCACCAGGGATCCGAGCCCAGCCCTGCCATGATCCCACCGTAATCCTGCAAAGGGAAAGCGATGATGTCCCCATAAAAGGAGAAGGGCTCCTCGGACCCGGCCCACCAGCCGAAGAAAGAGATGCTCTGGTTCCAGCTCAGGTCCACCACGCACGGCCTGGACGAGGCAAAGCCAACCCCCCAGTGCATGCTGCGCGGCTGGCTCCGGGCGCCCCTCCCAGGGCCCTCGCAGCCCGCATGGGAAAGAGCCGGCGCCCGGGCGGGCTCAGCGGTGCGCGGGGGGCGCAGGCGACGGCGGTGGCGGCAGAAGGGCGCGGACAGCGGGCGGAGGGCCGGGCTGGCGGGGCCCCGGAGCCCTGAGAGGCAGCGGCGGCCGCCGGCCTCCCTGGCCGAGGCCTCTCGCAGCCGCTCTTTGTGTCAGCGCGTGGAAAGGGCCACGTGATGTCATTGCTCCCCTGGGCCGGGCAACAGAGGCGGGATAAAGTCACCTACCCCGCGCCCTCCCCCCCGCCCCGCATCTCGGCGATGCTCGGCCTCCGTTTGCTCGGGGACAACTGCAGGGCTGGCCGCCGGGGCTCGGGGAGGTGGGTGGCCTGGGAGACTGTGACTGCGGCTAGGCCGAGCCCGCAGCCGCCGCCCTCGGTGCCGCCCGTTCCCGCAGGCGCTGTGCGGGGCGGGAGAGGGACTCACCTGCCCTGAGCCGCCGGCCGGAAGCGTCAGGCGGGGGCAGGTTAAGATCGGGAGAGTCTGGCCATCAGGAAGCCTCTGCTCAGGGAGGCACAGACACCTAAGTCTGGGTAGGGTGCCGACGAAGAGATGTCTGCCTTGACAAATAACAGCAGAAAGAACTCTAGGTGAGAAATCTTCCCTCTGACTGCTTGTCTTTGCCCCTCAGAAACTGTTAGCAAGGATATCACTGATGCATGATTTGTCGGTCTCCTTCCCCTTTGGTGCAGAACAATTGTAAAATAAGCAACTGTGTGTTCAGTGGTTCCCCCTACCCTGGATAACACTGAGAAGATTATTAGGAACTGAATTTAGGTTCTTATACATACATACATACATACATACATACATGTTTGTATGTAGAGCAAGTGCTCTACTAACAAACTATGCTCCTCCCAGCCCTTTAAGTCCTTAAGCGCAGAGAACAAAACAGTGTCTTATAGAAGTTTGTGATTTGTGCACGAATTCTAACCAAAGCATGGGCAATTTTAGTTTAGAAGAAATAAAATTAAAACATTAAAACAAAACGTAAGATTCTTCACAATTAAAATGCAGGTGTGAATTTAAGAACACATTCGTCCCCCAAGATGGTAGAAAATAGGGTGGTGATGAAGGACCCTCCCATATCCTTGATTTTGCCCCTTTAGAAGAAGCAGGTAGTCCAGCCGTGCTAGAAATAATCATTGCTCCCACAGACATGGAAGGAGTCCCTACCCAGGTTGACATGAATTTCAGGGGTTCCTTTCCCCATCCCGCAAAGCCATTCACACAGCTCCTCTGCTGTTCCCTGTGGTATATGGAAAGTCATTGGAAAGTTGTTGAGTATTTCCTGGTCTTTGACTCAAATGTGGTTTAAATGGTCATGATATTCTACAGTGGGTGTTTTTAAGAAGCAAGTAGAGTCAAGTAGAATCTCACAAGAGAGGGCCAGACGGTGGAGGCACCGGCCTTTAATCTCAGCACTCAGGAGGCAGAGGCAGGTGGATCTCTGTGAGTTCGAGGCCAGCCTGGTCTACAAGAGCTAGTTCCAGGACAGGCACAGAAACTACACAGAGAAACCCTGTCTCAAATAAACCAGAAAAAAAAATCTCACAAGAGAAAGCAAAAGAGCATCTTAATCTGATGCAGGTTAAATTTTAGCATGCCATAGAAGGCAAAGATTCTTATTACTATAGCCAAATATGTTGAGAGATGACAGTCAACTCAGAATTGGTAAACTTTGAGAGAACAAGGAAAGCAGATACAACCATTAAGGCAACAGCTATAAAAGCTATGGAAGCCTTTAGCCAGCGTTTCATTCAAGGTTCACCTAAATCTCACAGAGGAGCGCAGTCCAGCTACAGCAAGAAGGCAACACAGGGCTCAGGGCAGGGATTCAGCCAGGTGGTGAGCCCAACAGAAGGATATTAAACTGCTAAACAGGCCAGAGAGGTGACTCATGCCTTTGATCCCAGCACTCCCGAGGCAGAGGCAGGAAGATCTGTCTCAGTTCAAGGCCATCCTGGTCTACAGAGTAAGTGAGTTCCAGCACAGCCAGGGCTACACAGAGAAGCCTGACTAGAAAAAAGTAAAAAAATAAATAAACAAATAAATAGCTAAACAGGATGGGGTTAACCAAAGAGCTGGGCAGAGTGAGTCTTTAAAGAATGGCTTTTTAAAGCCCAGGGGACACTCCGATCCCAGATTGGACTGGCAGTTGCGGTGTGGTCCTATCTCATCTGAAGGCAGAAGGTGTAGAAGCTAAGCATGAGCTATCACACTCCATCTAGGTTCCACCAGTCACTGGGATGGTTGAAGATCCTGGGATCATAACCAGCACCTTTATTCCATCCCACCCATTATCACAAGTGATTTTGTCAGCTTTGCTGTTTCCTGGTGGTCAAAAGAATGGAATACACCTCTGGGTATTCCTGAGTAGAAACATGGCATTCTGATCTTCTCTGAAGAATAGAAAACTTCATACCATTGTCTCCTCCCTTAAGAGTTAATTCATTTGGTCCTGTCAATCACTTGGCCAAGAGACCAGCTCCTCAGGAAGATTGATGCTAGCACTGATAAAATTTCCCTGGAGCTCCTATTGGCTATTTTTAAGTTCGTCTGTGAACAAAACTAAGAGCCCAAAAAGGGAGTCTTAATTTCTCCTATAATAGCATTAAAATCATACTTGGTTCAGAACTGTTATTTTTCTTTTCCAAGTTTTTTGTTTTCAAAATTAACTTGCATCAAGTTGTTGAAAGGGGAAGGAACTAATTAACCCAACACCACCTGCCTATGCAGTATTATGCTACATAATTTTTCAAAACAAACTTTTTTTCTTTTTCTTTTTTTTTTTTTTTTTTTTTTTTTTTTTGGTTTTTCAAGACAGGATTTCCCTGTCTGTCCTGGAACTAGCTCTTGTAGACCAGGCTTGCCTTGAACTCAAGAGATCCGCCTGCTTCTGCCTCCTAAGTGCGGAGTTTAAAGGCGTGCATGCCACCACTGCCAGGCCAAAACAAACTTTCTTAGACACATGTTTTCACCCATCTTACAAAGAAACAAAGATCCCAGAAGAACAGTGAATGACCCAATCCGAAGCTTACAGCCACAGAGTCAGTGTCAAAACCCAAAAACGTCTGCAGTCTCACCCAGTGGCTCTGCGAGCTGTCTATCACTTCCCTTGCCACTCACACCACACATGGGTGCTGAAGCACTATCTACAGCATTGCAGGAATACTGCTACAATCTGAACTGTGTCTAAATTGAATGACTAAGAAACCTCAGTGACCTACAGTTACATTGTCACCTCTTCCATGACAGCTGGCCAAGAGAAAACCAAACAAGTTTCCCAAACTCTCAAGTGTATGTATATAGCCAGGTGTGTGTGTGTGTGTGCGCGCGCACACTCAGGCTGAGGCAGGAGAATTTCCTATTCAAGGCTAGTCAACTACCTGTTTCAAAAAAAGAAACCAGCTCATGTATCGCCTGTGAGTCAGTCATCAAATTAATGACAATTAGGTCACACCAGTGTTTCTCAAACACTTCTGAGCTCATGAATTATGGGAAAGCTTGTTACAGTATAAACCGGAGTGTGTTTTGAGCAGCGCAAGGGTTCTGCCTCTCTAACAGGTTTCCAGGTGATACCAGACAGTCTGAATGGCAGTTCTCTATACCACTAGCTCGGAAGGAATTCGGACCTCTGAGGACTAAAAGCATTCCTGGACATATGGTTCCTCATCAACCCCACCAGGTCACACTGTTTTTAAGTAGTTTGACCATTACATACAGATAAAGGGATTGGGCTGGAATCGAATCAGAAATTTAAAAACTGTACCAAGACTCTAGAAGAATAATTATGGCAGAGGTGATGCATAACTGACCCCTGAAGTGCTAAGCTGAGGGAGGAAGCCTTAGGACAGTAGAGAAACTTAAAGAGGGTAGGAGAAAAGGGGACAGATAAGAGGTGTGTTATCTTGTCTCTACTTCCTTGCCTGAGCAGTTAAAGATCTGGCAGATTTCTCAGGCATAATCAAATGAGCAAGATGGGCAGTTTATTTGTGTTAGGAAATTTCTCATAATGCTACACTTCTCATTTTAAAATACAATTTTTATACTTAAAGTATTTAATATCTTGCTACTTGTAACAAGTAGATGTGAAACGATTCTTTTGCGCATTTTAAATAATTAAATGTATCAGGTTATTTTATTAAAATGTTTATGTATTATTCAGTAATAAATAATTTATTTGATAATGTTCTTCTGAGTTTTATTGTAAGGATTTGGTTCTCTTGATTTGTATACTGGGTCATTTATGTCAACTTGACACATGCTAAAGAAATCTGAGAGGTCAGAACCTCAATTAAGGTTATGCTTCCATTAGATCCGGCTGTAGGCAAGCCTGTAGGGCACTTTCTAAATTAGTGATTCATGGGGGGAGAGCCCATGTAGATGGAAGTTTCCATCCTGCCTGATCCTGCAGCCATTCAGTCCTAAATAAACACACAGAGGCTTATAAACTGTTTGACCTATTACTCAGACTTATTACTAACTAGATCTTACAACTTAAATTAACCTATAATTCGTATCTATGGTTAGCCATGTGGCTTGGTACATTTTCTCAGTAAGGCATTCTCATCTTGCTTCCTCTGCTTCTGGATGACACTGCATCTCTGCCTTTCCTTTTCCCAGGATTCCTCAGCACCACATAAAATGGTGGGGGAAGGGCAATCCTGCCTGTAATCCTAGCAGTTGAGACATAGAGGCAGGAAGATAAAAAGGTTGTGGTCATTCTTGACTATAAAGTGTGTCTCAGGCCAGTTTGGGTTACATTAAACCCCGAATATCATATCTCCTCTCTCTCTCCCTCTCTCTCTCTCTCTCTCTCTCTCTCTCTCTCCCTTCCCTCCCTTTCTCTCCCTCCCTTTCTCTCTCTCCCTTTCTCTTTCTCTCCGTCTTTCTCTCTCTCTCTCTCTCTCTCTCTCTCTCTCTCTCTCTCTCTCTCTCACACACACACACACACACACACACTACCCACACAAGTTTGTTTTCTATGTCAGTCAGTGATTTTGGAAACTGTAGAAATGTAGATAGATTTTTTTCCTTTGGGCTGTCCGCTCACAAATAATGACATGAAAACTTGGCCTTCGCTTTTTCCCAACTAGCTCTTATAACTTAACCCATTTATATTAATCTAGGATCTGCCACATGGTATTACCTTTCTCTTCATCAGGCTGGCTACTCTGCTTTTCTTCTTTCCAGAGTCCTCTCTGTGCCTGGAAGTC